TTCCAACAAGACAATGACCCTAAGCACACAGCTAAAATAACGAAGGAGTGGCTTCACAACAACTCCGTGACTGTTCTTGAATGGCCCAGCCAGAGCCCTGGCTTAAACCCAATTTAGCATCTCTGGAGAGACCTGAAAATGTCAACCAATGTTTACCATCCAACCTGACAGAACTGGAGAGGATCTGCAAGGAGGAATGGCAGAGTATCCCCAAATGCAGGTGTGAAAAACTTGTTGCATCATTCCCAAAAAGACTCATGGCTGTATTAGCTCAAAAGGGTGCTTCTACTAAATACTGAGCAAAGGGTCTGAATACTTATGACCATGTGATATTTCAGTTTTTCTTTTTTAATAAATCTGCAAAAATGTCAAAACTTCTGTGTTTTTCTGTCTATAGGGTGTTGTGTGTACATTAATGAGGAAAAAAATGAACTTAAATTATTTTAGCATATGGCTGCAATATAACAAAGAGTGAAAAATTTAAGGGGGTCTGAATACTTTCTGTACCCACTGTATATTTTAACAGTTTCTAACATTGTTCAGTGCATTGCAAAATCTCTGATCCTCACCCCTTACTCTTCAGCCTCTCTACTCCTCTTTCATATCCTCTTCCTCCCTCCTTCCCTTCATCCCTCATTCAGCCACCAACTTTTGTCTTCTCATCCCCTCCCTACTGCCCCTTGTTTGACCTGTATATTATTCAATTAACATATTCTACCAAAAATATGGTCAGTGGCTCTCTAAACACAATTTTAGATGGAATTCAGCTGTATGGTTTGCTTTACTGACTTGTGCGTCAGCTCACCAAGTCTGTCTTCTATGACAATTGGCAAAGTGCCCAGGGTGCATGACTACATCTGCAGCCATTCCCAATTCACTGACCAGACCTGGCTTTAGATGAACCCTGATATACTTTAAATTTGTACACGTATCCAGAAGCCACTGTAGTGAACACTATGCATGAAAGGGCTAAAATTCAGGAGTGGTTTAGCTAAACATTTGGGTTTTTATTTCAGACCAGTGTACAGACCATGCATACCAAGGACCAGCTGAATCAGATGGTCTGAGATCAGTTCCAGTTAAGCTGTGTTATAATGTGAGCAGACCACAGGACTGCTTTGTTAGCAAGGAAACCTGGAGATAAAATACCTCCCTGGTGTATGAGCAGGGAGTAACATTCAAATCCAATTTCATGTTGTGTTATGTATAGCTCGTATACTGTTTCCTTGTATTTAAGGTGTCTCATGATGCCTCCATCCTCATCTGTCAGCAGTCACTTTGAACCCATATGAAAATGCCCTAACAGTGAGAGTGTTACACCCACATTCACTGACTGAAGCCCTGCGTCAGGGTTAACTGCTGTCTGTGTTAACTGTTCAAGTCATATCCCCATTAACCTCCATTATGGCTCCCTAGGCCGCCCGGTCCTTCCCTGGGTGGCAGTCAGCGCTCCAACATTAGCCTCTATTACAGCTCCCCTGGCTGCAGTTGCCCTGTGTAGGGCAGCCACTGATCTTGTATTCGTGAATCTGAGTGTCTGCGCCTCTGAGTTATAGCATGCAGTCAGGTAAACGGTGTACATGGACGCAGCTGATGGCTGGTATTTGCTCCCCTTTTTTTGTATTTGCAGCAGTGCAGCAGCTGTCCTTTGCAGCATGTGAAGCATCCATGTCAGTTGTTTTTTTGTGCGTTTGGGGTAATCCTCTCTTTTCTCTGTAATGGGAGGCATGAACTCTCGCTCTAAACCCATTTCCAGCCCATCTGAAATACGGCAGCAAATTACCTGCAGCAGCGCCCTGCACACCAGCCCCAATCTGCCCCAAATAGAAGTGACAGGACAGTGCAATTTATCGCTATAACCCCTGCACTGCCACACCACCAGCCAACATCCTTGTACACACTGCAGGCTTACACATACAGCCGCTGCACACATACACAAGACAGTGACTCCTGAATGGTGAGCATGTGTGTAGAGGCCTGCGATTGTGTGGACTGTACATACTGGAGCAGGAGGAGAGTGTGTGTGGTCTCTACGCTCCAGTGTAGGGGCCAGCCTCGCTGCTCTGGCCCCCTGCCCTGCCTATTATCTCATTGATTTCCTCCTCTCCTCTTTTCAATTCTCTCCATTTCCACACTGCCGTCCTTTCCATTAGAGGAGCAATTTAACAGAGTGCTGTGACATGGAGGGGGGGGGACTGGAGGATGGGAAACATAAAGCGAGGAGGGGAGACATAGTGGAAGAGCTGGAGGGAAGACAGGCAAAAGAGGGGTGGGACTGAGGGAAACTGTAGTATCCAAGCATAACTGAACATTTCATGTAGTTTATGAACTGAGCTTAACTTGCAGTTAAACTGGAACTATCCCTTCACTGTCTGTGTGAAGACATGACTTCCAGAGATGTTTGTGTCTCTTATAATCTCTCTGCCTTTCTTGTCCCTTGCAGGAGTTTCCTCCAGAGCCGTCTTAGAGTCCCCCATCACAGTCACCCATCGTCCGTCCAGGACCGGAGAGGAGGCATGATGTGCTGGATTCGTGGTTCCCTGTACCGGGTGTCAGCCAATAAGCTGTCTCGCACTGTAGCGCCAAACATGTCAATCAACCGAACAGGTACACTAACCAACAGCTGTGGCAGCGAAGTGTTTAGATGTTGTTCAGTTTCATAGCTGACTTGTGGTGATTGTTAATTACAGGACCTTGAAGGTCTGGAAATGTAAAATCTAACAAAAATTGTAATTCTTTTCATCTAATAAGTGCTGGACAAGTGAAAACAGACTTGGGCTTATGCATAAAGTTATTTTTCTTTTCTTTAGAAGAAACGTTGCACACCTTGTACTCGGCTTGAAATTATTATTATTTTTTTTAATCCTCGGGAAAATTCACACTGAATCTGTTCTGTCTAAGCAGAAAATGTGTGAATGTGTGAGTTTAACTGCAGTATCACTGCAGAAATGTTTGCATCTCTACTGCAGTCAAGATTATTCATAAGTATAGACTTCTGCTCTTTTCAGTCTGTCATCACTTGCAGAAAATCAAGACAAAGTATGAGGGTGTATTTATATTTTGAACTCTAACTTCAAATCAACATTTGAATGAATGAATGAATGTAACTGAGTGTGTAGATTTACTTTTACAGCCCACAATTATACTCAAGTGTTGGAATCCATCATGGCTTTGCTAATGCACTGACTGGCCACTTTATTAGGTACACCTGTACAGTTGTATGCAATTCAGTGCAACACTTCCACCTTATCATCTGTGCTTATGAAGATCAAAATGTTTTGGTTTTTGGTGAAATTGTCATAAATGTATACATTTAATTATATGTTTATGATTGAAGTCATATTCAGAGGTGTTCCTAATATTCTGAACCTCTCATGTATGCAGCTGGGGATGACAAAACTATAGACACCTCTAAATAAAACATAGTCCAGTACAACACCACCTTTAACTATGACCTCAGTAGTAAACATATAATTGAATTTATACATTTGACAATTTCACCAAAAACTGAAGAACTTCATAAACACAGATGTTAAGGCGGAAGTGTTGCATTGAAGTGCATACAGTTGTTCAGGTGTACCTAATAAAGTGGCCGGTGAGTGGATATGTCCATGGAATTGTTTGTTTGATTATTGGGTGGTGCCCACATGTACACGTTTCAGTACCAAAAGCTGCTGAGGTTTGATACCCGGCCCTGTTCAGGACATAGACAGGGCAGTGACTCGGTGTGTAGCCTGAGGTGATACAGGAGTGTTTATTCGTGTTTGTGGCTGCAGCTCTATCCGTGCTCTCTAATAGACTTAGGGGAGCTAGCTGGATTTGCCATCTGAAATAATAAAGTTGTCATCTGTCAGAGCAGTGAGGGGGAGGGTCTGGAGAACCAGACGGTGCAGATTAAAGCCCAGATCTGCCTCCACCTCCTTCACACTTCACCCCACCTCTCTTACAAACACATTCTCAAGCAACTACACCTACAGGTGAAATTGAAGAGCTCAAGTCTGATAAACCCGTGACTGGCATCCAAACACGCATACCTGCATCTTCCAGGGACACGCTTCAGGTGTCCTCTCAGCAGGAGCTGTGATATCACATCTTTCACCCGCGAGCTGGACATTTGTTCTTGGTCTGGAGCCACCGACCTGTAATCCTGCCCTGCTTAAATCACAGCAGAGCGCAAACCTGAGCTCTGAACAGCCAAAAAAGTTCCAGAATTAAAGGTCTGAATAAGATGAACTGCCACACGGATGCACATTTCGTGAGTCTTTTGGGTACATGGTGTTTTATGATGTTCTCAGACAGAACAGAATGTTACGTTTGGCTTTGTCACCTCTGTGACACACCACTACAGTATAAATCATCAGTGACATATCAGTTTTTATATTGCATCAGGCTGCACAAACGCACACTCAGACAGCAGCAGCTCCAACACGGCTGATGTGAATAATTAGAAATCTTTTTTTTTTTTATTTGAGGTAAGATGTACTATATCGTCTGACATTACAAGATAAATACACTTTAAAAAATAATATTTTATAGACGGAAACCAGCCTCCCCTCTTTTCAAATGTGTGTCCATGTCTAATGCTGTGATAACATTTCACAGCATAAGTAGGTTAGGAGCTTCCTGCTGCGACACTGTGTCATATTACTACTGACATGGGCAGATTGTAACACACCTACAAGTTAAACTAACTGCAGATCACTGTTAGTTACAGTCATGGCCAAAAATATTGGCACCCCTGCATTTCTGTCAGAAAATGCACCACTTCTCCGAACAAATTGTTGTATTCACAAATTCTTTGGTCTTCTCATGTTTATCTCTTTTGTTTGCATTGGAACAACACAAAAAAATCAAATCGGGTTGATTCCACATTACCATTGGAGTGGCACTGGTTCATAGTAAATACAGGTTTCATAATCTTTTTATTTCTATGGGTAATTTTTAATAAACCAAAATAACATAAGTGAAAATGAATGTATATTTCTGTAAAACTAAATCTGTAGTGGGAGGGCCTTATTGAATCTGAAGATTTAGACGACGTACACTAGTAGGGACTCCAGCTTTAGCAAAGAACGCCTTCATATGTTGTAAATAGTCAATTTTGCTGCATCCAAAAACAAACAAACCCATAAGTTCTCTCCATTTCTGCTGCTTTGTGCGATTGTGTGCCTAATTAACCTAAACACAAACTTCCTTTTTTAAGTTACTCACCTTATCTTTTCTCCACATTTAGGAAGGTCCTGCAGTCCCCAGGTCTCGGCTGTGATCCGGCCCTCCGGCAGTCATCACTTGGCCAGGTAGGCTAGTCACAGTGTCTGCTTCAAACTCCTCTCTGCAGAAGCTGTCAAGCTCAAGAAGTGAGAACATTTCTGCATATATATTTGACGTTTAAATGGTTTAATTAAGAACAGTTACATGTGGCCCTCCGCTGTGTCTTCATACAACATTGCATTTGATCCTTTTTAGTCTCTCCCTTAATTATAACTGCCCTTCAACACTGTCAACTAAGGGATGTAAAGTAGTCTTTTAAAATTAAAATTAGCATGCAGGGACACCAGTATATAACCCCCCCCACCCCCATTGGGGTGAAAGCTGAAACTCTACTCCTGCAATAATTAGCCCTCTTTACTTACAACAAGTAGCTAATTACTGGTGTGTGGATACCTGTGGTTTGTCTGTCTCCTGGAACAAGCCGTGCTGTCCAGCGGAGTCTTGCCATCATTAGACACGCTCATCAGAAGAAACAGCAGAAGCAGTACTGTATGTACTACAACCGCTTTGGCAAGTGCAATCGCGGCACCAGTTGTCCCTACATCCACGACCCGGATAAGGTGGCCGTCTGCACCAGGTAACAGTCGCACAAACAGAGCCGTCTCGTTTGGCCAGTCACACATACCAGACTCAAAATCTGGGAGGGCAGTAGACTGCTGCTCATTGAGAATGGGACCTGTGGTATCATCCACTGAGCTGGGACTCACTGACACTACAAGGGAAAGCTAACAAAGTCTCCACTTCATCCAAATGTCCCATGATGCAATGTGAGAGACAATCGGGTGAGATAGAGTCATACTTGTTTTGATTCAGGGACCAATTGCAGTGCAGATACAGGAACACAATGACGGTTACCCAGTGTTTTACTGCATTAACACAGTTTCAGCATTATTTTCCCTGAGTTAAAAAGGACTGCACATAAAGCTAATCTGGACTGGGGGAAACAAATTAACTGTGCAACACGAAACTGAACTGTTACCACATGTGTAGTACAACAGCTGCTGTACATTAGAAAACAACTGTCCAGTGGGAACAGAGTATGAAAAGTATGTGTTCAGTGCAGCAAACCCCCAGTGGGAGGCCAGCGACTGCCTGCTGTGATGTGTCTGTATGCGTGATTGCAGTGTCATATTGGTGAGCAGAGCGGCAGCGTTGATGGTGTTATGATGCTTCACTCCAAGTAAAAATTGCATATTTCAGACATCCGTGGTTCTGGAAGTTAATGGCCAGTTGCACTCTAAAGTACTTAAAGGTTTAGATGGATGTGAAACTCTTGTGGTTCAGCATCAAACCCTAAAGATTAAAGCATGTCAGCTTTTAAAGAAAGATACTGTTTTTATTGAGCATCACATTTTGTTACCCACACTGCCAACAGAGCTTGGAACTTAAAATTACCCTGTGGAGAAACCTGATAAAAGATTCATTGGTTAAATCGGTTCATTTTCTGACTATAGGTTAACTTTTTTTGAAAGAATTCAGTAACTAAGGGCCAGTGTTTTATTCCCAACTGGAACAGCAAAGTATCAGAATTTGGTATTGACTCAACATGTGTGGCACAAAACACATCAGAAATAAACATGAATTCCCAGGAGCAAAATTGTAACAATTAAAACTGATGGCTGAAACACAAACCTAGTGAGAGATTCTCTCCAAATGAGAATTTACACTAGGAAACATCCTTGCACAGATAGTGGCTCCTCTTGCTTCCTGTTTAGCTTCTGCATTCTGAGGCTCGTCTCTTGTGCATGTGCAGGTTTCTGCGAGGGACGTGCAAGCAGGCAGATGGGTCGTGCCCATTCTCCCATAGGGTGGCTAAGGAGAAGGTAACAAACATCGACACCTACACACGATCCAGATACTAGACAACATTGTGCTTCATGGGTTCCATTGCAAACGCCAGGCTCTGCTACAATGTGTAGGTACTGAATAAGATGGCACAAAGCTTGGTCCAGTCAGTGTGGATCATATTTGTGTTCATTTGTGTCCAGGGTCACCTGTTTGACCTACATCTAGTTTTGTCCTTTTTACTTTTTAAGCTTTGCTGTGTTGCATGGTGCTTGTTGCTTTTTTATGATGCATGTAAAGCATCTGATTTCCTTGAAAAGTGCAATAGGTCCAAGCTTCTATGATCTGTGGAAAATGTGTGTGCTTTTGAAAGTGCTCTAGCTCATCTAGGGGAAAGCAGCCCCTCAAAAAGGGAAGATTTTATTTCTTTTTACTTAAGACAAACAAGCTTATAACAGGTGCCTTGCCTCGCCCTCCACACACACATGCACACACAATGCCCTGCACCTGTGTTGGTTGTCACACTGCTGCCTCTAAGTGCTGAGAGCCCAGCTGTCAGTTTGTAATGCAGCACCCCCTCACCCCCAAACCTTTGGCCCCTCCCTCCACAGAATACACCCGCTCTAATTTCATGTGGGCCACTTAACTGTATGTGAGTCTTGGGGAATGTTATGCACCCACCACCCCCAAACCTGATCCCAGCATTAGTGTGTACAGGCGAGCCCGAACCCTGTGTCCTGCACCCCACCTTCCTCTCCCCCACTAGCACAAATACCTTGAAACCAGACACCCCTGAGCCTACTCCCATGGCAGCACCCCCATCCACTCTCACCACCAGCAGTGACCCAGTCGGTGCACACATCCAAAGCACATAAACACATCATGAGAGCTGGACAAGCTGCTGCCTGGATAAATATTTCTGTAGCAGTTAATTACGTAGAACTGATCGCAGGGTGGAGTCTTTCTCACACTCCATCTTTCTCCAGTGAACCCCCCTCAGAGGTATATTTAGACCAGCCCCCACCAGGCTCTTCCCCCACACCAAACAGTAGATCTTTCTACACACACACACACACACACACACACACACACACACACACTGTCGAGATGTCAAGACACACAATCACTCTCACTCTGCCGCTGTCAACTGCAATTAAGGTCATTTAGCTGCCTGGTGTGACAGATCGCTTGGCACATGGGACACGTCTGAACTGAATGTAATGCGGTTTAAAAACACATCTGTTAACAAACTTGTATAATCTCATGTAATGACATGCCTTCATCACTCCTGCTTTCTTTCTCTGTGGTTTAGTTTCTTTTATTGTACAACTCATGAGGAGATGAGGGTGGGGCCTTAGTTAACACAGTCTGCTCGCAACAAGTCCCAGCAACTCCCACAGACCAAAAACACGCAGGTTAGGTGAATTGGCGACTCTAAGTAGCCTGTAGGTGTGAATGTAAACCGTCAGAGATAAGAGTTGTTCGGGGAAGAAGCAGCCATGTTATTTTTTTTTTTACCAACATGTTGCCTTCATCTGCTCCATGGCATAAAACCACCTTAACCCTTTCATTTTATTACTTAACATTTGAAGGCTGCAATTTGAACCAATAGATAGACTTTCTTTTCTATCAGAAGCACAACTGATATGTTTTCAGAAAGAATGCAAAGAATCAAAAGTACATGGCTAAGTGAGACTGATACACAAAATCCACTGTCTTTCTTTGGACATTTAGCCAATAATCTATTTCCAGAATATAAGACAAAGGTCTGCTGAGCTGGGGCAGTAGACAGCAAAGATGAGGGCTCTATGTTGTGGTTAAATGCTTGATATTTATACTCTATGTCAAGTTCTCAGGTTCAGTTGATTCACATTTAATGTCTCTGACTCTCTCCAGATGCCGGTGTGTTCCTACTTCCTGAAGGGAATCTGTAACAACAGCGACTGTCCCTACAGTCATGTCTACGTGTCCCGCAAAGCTGAAGTGTGTGAGGACTTTGTCAAAGGCTACTGTCCTGAGGGAGAGAAGGTACAGATACTCAAATACACATTTATTCAGTTCTATTGAAATTAAAATGAGGCTTAGGTAAACAAGTAGTTACAGTAAGTTACCAACCTCCCCCTGTACACTCACACACAAACACATTCGTACACAGTGACACACAGGCAGGAACAGCTGCAGCGTATGGTTGTTCATAATGGCATGACTTTAGTGTCTGGGTGACACATCGAGGGCCCGATGGGTAACAGACTCGGGCCACCCGAGTTCCCCCACGAATGCATTCTCTTCCCACATCCACCTCAAACGCACCCTGAAATGCTCCCTCCCTCCAAACTTGTTTTTGAACATTGAATGTGAAACAGATGCTTTTTCACACTGTCAGGCCTCATTTAAATACTGCATGGGGAAATGAGGATATAGAAAACAAAAGGGATATTAATATTTATTCTATTAGCTGAAGTGCTTAGGTCTGTGATTTTCCCCCTGTGTGTGTGTGTGTGTGTTTGTGCCTGAGTGTGTGTGTGTGTGTTCAGAGCGCTGTGCTGTGAGGCTCTGGCGGCTCTATGATGGATAGCAGGCAGTAATTATAGATGGGAAAACTGCTGAGGATGGCACTATGGGCCAGGCAGGCAGACACTCCAGCAGCTCAGGGGTTAAGTCTGCTCCTTGTCTCCATCCTCCATCCTACTCCTCCTCCTCCTTGCAGACTTGCCATCGTCCTGCCTCATCCTGGCTTTGTCTCATACTCGCTCTCCACCTCACAGGAGCTGTCTCTGCTTTGTCCCACAGGTTTTTTTTCCCCTCATTTCACTGTTTTAATCTTTTTCCCCATTATCTGAAATGTGGCTTCTGGATCCAGGTCTGTCTTCTCTCAACTTCCTGACACATGCAGCCAGCCACCAAACATCACTGTGTCTGACCAGTTGTCGTTGAAAGCTTTGGGAGACGAGGCTGTATTTGGCTCCACTGGTTTTCATTGCTTGTGTATGTTAGCAGAGAGCTTGATGTTGACTGTTGGTTTTTTTAATCATGTGTTCGACATGACAGACCAATCATTCCAGCCTCACTCAAAGCTTTGGAGTAAAGAGCCGAGGCAGCAATCCGTGGCGCCTATTCACACCGATGGCTTTAACCATCAGGGGCAACTTGGGGGTTCAGTGTCTTGCCCAGGGACACTTCGACATGTGGACTGGAGGCACCGAGATTCGAACCTTCAACCTTCTGGTTGGGAGACGACTGCTCTACCCACTGAACCACTGTCACCTAAATGTGATATTATCTACTTTTGCTCTAAAATCCTGCGCTGTTTTGCTGTGTATTTGAAGATTGCATTGTGAAACACACCAGCAGCATCTTAACAACAGTTTTATCACACTTGTTCTCTAGCTTGACACATCCTGGCTACAGAAGTACTTTTTCTGTCTGATGCAACCAGCGTGTTCTACAGATGTGAATCCCCGACAAGGTCAATGTGTTTTCTGACTGAAAATTGCTCGCTCTATTAAAAATTCAAGGTGCTGTTAGGTGTGTGCAAGTACTGGGCAAAAGCTAAAATACAATCCAGGTGGTCCAGTTGAGAAATGGCTCCACGAGTGAAAACCAACTGAGCACATCGCAACACAGTGTTGGACCCTGTTCACTTTCCAGGCAACATGTGACTGACTAGTGATAGATAAAAATGGAGGGGTCCAAAGAAAATTGTCAACTTTAAACAAAAACCTACAACTGGTGCTGCAGTGTCATGAGGTTCAGTCTTATCCTGCACTGGAGACGTGTTTACAGAGGAGAGCATCATTGTTCTTCATAATCTAGCAACCCGAACTCTGTCCTGCTCACAGTGAGTGTCTGCTTGGTGCCCAAGATGTAAACACAGGTGAAGTCCCCTTTTTTATTTTACTGTCTTTTCCATTTCCTGCCCTCCATCCCTCTTTCTTTCTCACTTCTTTTGCTCCTTCTGTGTCTCTTTGTAAATGTGCTGACGCCTCCTGGTTTTGGCCCAGCGGAGAGCTCTCTAATAGGCCCCAGAGACGTCCCAGCTTTCCTTAAATCAAGTGGAAAATTGTTAACTTGGTGTGGGATAAAGATGTTCTGTCCACTTTAGCTTTTTTCTCCATTTCCCTGCTCTCTCTCTCCCTCATATGAAAATGAGGATGTATGAAGCTGTAGGGAGTAGATTGAGCTTTTACAGTCGGACACTTTTCTCACATTGCTAAAGTGCTTCAGCTTTAACTCTTGTTGTCTTATACTCATGTCCAGCTCCCCCTCGTCACCGATGGCACATTTTAAGTTATATTTTTAGTTTATCTGCCAGTAGGGTTGGCGCTGGCAGACACTGTATGTGACAAATAGACAGAATCCTTTATCAAGTATATTATGTCTGTATAATGTATTTAGATGTGCAGAGTTGCCTGCCAAACTGCTTAGCTGTTGTATATCACACTGGGCAGCATTAGTAGACAGGCAGCACTCACCTCCTTGCCCACTTCTGTCACTAACCAGTGTTCTGGATGATTATAGCTATCAGCTCTTACATACAACATTAGGATCACAGTAGTTTTCATCCAGTTGTTTAAAGGGAAAAGAAATCTGCATTCAAAAGTATTTATTCAACCAAATTCTTAAAGACATAACTACAAAGACGACACACCTGAAGCCACCAGGGCGAAAACAGGCACTTTGAAGACGACACGGCTTTGGGAACTTGTGACGAATATTTTTTCACTTTTTCCTCTGACATTGCGTACAGGATACACGACAGTTAACTGTGAAATCAAGAAAGAAACTAAATGAGTACTCATGAGTTGCAGCCATAAAATCATGTATCACTGTTGACAGTATAACAGGAGTTGATGGGTCAGTAGTGATGTCATACACCAAATATAAACACAGGGCTTCATCAACACCAGTGGCAGGCCTGATTTGTTGACTGAAGTCTTGTGTCAAAACCACAGCCCTATAAGATGATCAAGATAAACATTTGACAGGGAGCTGATCCCTGGGCTGCCCTGGCACCCGTGGAGTGCAGGAACATGGGTCTGAGGGCCAAGAGAGGGGCTCTGATGGCAGTGAGTCAGGAGCGTTGGTCTCCAGAGGGTTGACCAAGAGCCCACAGCCTTCCTGGAAAATCGATCTCAAGAATCTACACACACACACACACACACTCTCTATTTCTAGACCAATCTGCCTCCTAGCCTTGTGGTCCTCACCCCTCCACACACACACACGCATGCACACCTATCAGCCTGCACTCCAGAGTGAATATAATTAGCTTTTCTGACAGGTGGGAGAGATCAGATCTCGTGTAGAATGAACCTACCAATTTACACCCGTATTACACTGTCATACACACTCGGTTGCAAACATGCATGTGAAAGCTTGCTCTCTCAGGCACAATGCTCACCACAGTGACGCCGACTGTGACCCACTTGCTCAGCTTGCACATTAAAGGAGAGGCTGAAGAAATAAATGTCTCATAAAAGTAGTAATTAAAAAAAAAAACTTCAAAGGAATCTTGCAATATCAAGAGCTGGGACTTGCTTTAACTCCTGTCCTAGCAGCTGTCCTCTGTGAGCAGTAAGATTGTTGGACCATTTTGCAGACAAAAGAACTTGTAATAGAAAATAAATAATAAAATCAGTCTCACTTTGTCCAGGTCCAGCCATGTTTTGTGACCTGTGTTTAGAGGTTCCTGGATTTAATACAGTGTTCATGAACCAGTCTTAATTTTAAAGAGGAACTATTGTCTTTCAGAAATGTTTCCTCATATTCAATTAAGTGTTTGTTGCTTATTTAAATTCACATATCAACTGTCTGCAGGAAAGTAAATCAGCTCCTCAGCAGTTTGAACATTTGAAGTTTTTGATACATTACTTTGAAATTATTTTTCTACAAAGCCCTTTTCATGTGAAAGTTCTTCAGTATTAATGGTCAGAAATAGTCAGTCAGTGTTTTCTGTCATACTGGGAACTAAAAAGAGGAACCCATATTAGCTGCTTTGTTTCTGTCTGAGCAGTGACTTCCTTCATTGATGCTGTAAAGCTTCAAACCTGATGGTCTGTGTATCTACCCACCAGTGTAAGAAGAAACACACTCTGGTGTGTCCAGACTTCTCTAAGACTGGATCCTGCCCACGAGGTGCCCGCTGTAAGCTGCAGCACCGCCAGCGATCCAAACGAAGCGCCGGTAACGCCTCGGCCACCGCAGCTAAGAAGGCCCGAACCAAAGAACCTTTCAAGAGGTTAGAAATCCAGATTGTACAGAGTTTAGTCACTACTCATACAAGTCATCACTTACTTGAACTTGATTAACAAAACATTACCTAATGATGTTTTCCCCTGCCAGGCCCTGCCTGTCTGTTGTCATGCCGCAGGACTCTCAGGCTGTTGCAGGGACGCCCGCTGCAGGTCCTTTGGAGCTGCCATCCTTCATCTCCCTCTCCAGCTCTCCAGAGGAAGCTGATGCACCTGACTCGATACGAGTGGAGACTTTACAGGTTAAAGGTAACAAAATGCATCCAGATCTAGAGCAGCTCAGTGAGCAGCGGTGTACACACAACAGTGTGACAAACAAGTCACAGTGTGCAAACCAAGGTTTCCAAGAAGCATTCATTTGGTGATTTGGAGGTCAAAATAAATAGCTGATTATGTTGAAAATGGACACACATTTTTTTTTTTTTTTTTTTTTACATGTATATTTTACATATAACTGTGCTTTTAGTGCATGGTTAGGATTTGCTTCATGCTGTGTACTGTACAACCTGCCTTTGTAAATGTGCAGCATCTACAGAACCAGACTGAGCCCACTTTTAATCAGTTTCACATGTATTGTAAAGCACCTGACTGACCACACTCAAAGGAAAATTCATTTTTTACCCTGCAGGTATTTTTCAGGGAGGTTTTATCATCATTCAATTATGATGAAAAGAAATTACTGAGTTTATTACTGAGGACTGGGAATGTTCCACAATGGAGACATGGAAGAAGCACAGGCAGTCAGATGACACAGGTTTGTGTTATTGTTCTGTGAATAGATAAAAGCAGTGTCCAGATATGGCAACTCAGATGCTATACTTGATCGAAATCATGGAAAAACCTGTGAAAATTCCATCTGAGATTAAAAACAATCTTCCTCTATGAGGACTAACTGAGCTTTACTTGGTGCTGGCTGTCAGGTGTTTGGTCTAGAGATGTTTTGTGGAAGGATCCAGTTTGTCACGACAGCCACAGGATCATTTCTCAATTCATGCAATGGGGAGTGGTCGCTCGTCGGCACTGCAGACAGATGATGGTGATCAGAGCAGGGCTGTGGGGATACTGTGACGCGGGGGTAAGAATAATAACGCTCGCTGGACAGAGGTAATAATATTTAGGTTTTGGGCCGGATGGAGGCACAGCTGAGCGCTCTGTTGACAGACTTGACAGATAGAGGATTAGGAGAGAAGCTTCCTCCTCCTCCTCCTCACCCACCAGGCTGTCCACCTGCCCCCCCTGCCTGCTGTGCGTGCCCACACACACACACACACACACACACACACACACACACACACACACACACACAAGTGCCCTGGCTGCCACCGCAGCCCACTTCCACCACCTGTGTGTGCTGGGTGATCATGTGGATATTAATGTCTGAAGGGGTCAGATTGTAACCTCCCCACCCACTTTCTTGGAAACGTATTTTCCTTGATAGTTCCTTCAGAATGACTTGCACCGACTAAACTGGGTCCTTCATAAATGAGTTCTTGTCCTCACGTGCATATCAAGCCTTAATGAGCCCATTATGTTTAATGCGTAAAAATTCCTCTGTTTGATCTCGACTAAAAAGATGACGGAGGTTAATCTTCTTTTTTTATTGACAAGCACAATGAAACTGTCTCAACAGTTTCTTGGAAACAATGTGGACCATCCAACGTATTGACATTTTTTCTATTATTAAACTATATACTGTCGATACTTGGAGGCAAATAACAGCCGGCAACAACAACAGTTTAGGTTGAAAATCTGTTTAACTGTGTCGTCGTGGCAGCTGGATCATATTCCTGTCTGGTTTCTTTTAGACTAAGGGATCTTATAAGAGCTATTGGTCACTTGTACTTTTTCATTCTTGGGTGATCCTCCTGTACCTCATGGTTTATATTCAGTCTCCCGTGCTGGGACACAAGCTTTGACCTGACCTGAGTCATCTTGAGCCCTGACCTTCTACACAGTCCAACTCTACAATAATATTGTTGCAGTAAAGGTTTGTTTGAATCTCAAGAAGTTCCTGTTTGCATTTGTATGTTTTTTGTCTCTAAGTGTTTGTGTGTTTGCAAGCATGGGAGGATCAGTTGTGAACTTCGGTGTTGAGCAGCAGCTGAGCCTGTGTTGCACCCTGGACTACATGTCCTGGATCACAGTTTACCTGAAGAGGCGACATCATGGAGCAGTTTAAACTGCTTTTTCCTCACGTCACTCAGTGCAGTGGTACAGCTCTCCTGTGTGTGTTAACACACACGTGATCCAGCAAATCATCGCCCCTCCACCTCCTCTGTCCCGTTAGTGTGTTCTCCTAAGTATTACTAATGACGCTGTGGTCTCTCACTAACACACTGCGCCGCCCAGAGCCTCATTAAAGGTGGAACTCAGCCAAACAAGCTCCTTTCCACTTTGCATAAATTAGTTCAGATGCAATGCATCACTGCCAAGATTACAACCTTTCTCTTTCATGTACACACAACTTCATCCGACCCCGTTATCCTGCTCTTCCTCATTTACTCCTCAGCTGAGATCTCATCACTCAGCCTTTCCGCTGTATTCAGCCTACAGTACGATCTACTACTGTCGGCTCAGTTACATATGAATGAACACACTGATTATTTTTTTTTCCTTTGATTTCTGCCAATACTCTTCGTCATTTAATTTTTCTTTTCATTTGAATTTCCTGTTTGTCTTCCTCAGAAAAAAAGCTGCAGATCAAGCCTCGACTGTGAGACGCCAGCAACTGTCAGCGGTTCACTGATTTCTGAGCTTCAGGTTTGTCCTGACAGGTGAATCTGTGTCCTTTCTCTCTGAACTCCTTAACTCAGGGCCTGAAAGTTTTACTTCTACATCGATCCATCTGTTTTACATATCACTTTGGATGTTTACTGAGTTTCTCATCAGGTTGTGTAACATTTCAAAATAAAATTTAAACTTGTACCGTGTCGTTTCAGACTCTTTCTGACAAGTGAAATCAGTGTGTTTATGTTTTGGAGTGATGATGATGTCACGTGACCCGAGTGTGTTTTGTGAGTGTTTTCATCAGGAAGGTGGTGACAAGACAGCGCTGCCTGGGGTCGAGACTTTGACTTCCTTCGGTTTTAGCACATGTAGAACAAGCATCCCCTCTCCGCTGTAAAATACAAGGACATGGCTACAGAAGGGGACCTGCAAGTTTGTCAAAAATACAAGGCATTTGCAGCTGTAATTATTACTGGGATGATGGGAAACTGCCCACATATGCTCTGGATGGGAGAAAATGGTAGTATGGTATGTTAAATGGCAGGCAACTTAACACCTGTTTTATGTTGTGTTCAGCAAATCATCATTGCCTCCCATCCCATACTACCGTGAGGTGATCCACCCGAGTCTCTTGTCAGTCCACCTTCCTACTGAAAACACACAGATCGCCATGTTTCTTAATGCACCAGTTGTTTTTTTTGCCTACATCGGAAGAAATAAAGATTTTATGGTTTTCGTTTTTACTGGGAGTCGAAGTTCATTCTGGGCTTTGGAAAGTGTAGGTTTACATGATCATTTTTATCCAGAGTTCGCTTGCTAGTTTTTCTCCTGTTTCAATGTGGAGATTGGCTTATAAGCTCTTCCTCCATTCATCAGTGGTTCTTCCTTTAGGCTCTCTCCATCTCTGCATGTGTGTGATGATCGAAGTGGTTGTGTGGCAGTGGCAAGCAGCACAGAGAGGATGCTGGAACATGTAGTCCATCCAGTAATAAAACCATGCTTACACTGGGCGTGCTTGCGTGCGAGTATATATATATACTTGTGGGGACAGAACACTGGGAACACACTGCTCTGTGGGGACCAGAGGCTGGGCCCCACGAGTGATTTGTCAGATTTTACAAAAAACATGGGGTGTACGGTTAGAGCAAGTGTCTGCTTTGGTTAAGGTGTGGGTACATCTCCTGGAATTGAATGTAAGCCTATGTACAGACCCTGTAAGTGACAACTGCAAGGATGTGTGTGTGTGTCAGTATGTTTTGGAAAAAAACCTGTTAGCGGTGTTATTTTTTCAGAATATTACTGCAGAGAAATACGAACATGTAGTGTGCGTGTCACTCTGGGCTCCATCTTGTCAAATCTTGAAAGGTGAAGCACTAGAACAGTAGAACGTGTTTGACTTCTTCCTTCTCTTTTGTTTGGCAAACCGTCTAGTCAGAGGTGGTTCTGTTTGTGTACGGGAAATTAAAAATAATGTGGGGTTTAGCAGAAATTACATGCTAGAACTATTTCTGGATCAACAACGGTTTGTCTGTCATTGACAGAGATGTCCGTGGTTTTGGTCTCTGTGCAGGACAATGGTGTCAAACCTGGCAACTAGGGATGTGCATGTGTTTTTCCTAGATACGATTCAGTGCATGTGTAAGATTCAATTCAATCATGATACAATGAAAAACTTCATGACAACAGTGTATGACTAGCTGAAGAATACTTGTGCCTTTATTCCTTTTCCCCTTTTCTAGCACTGGCTTGAATATGTAAGAACAAACAGATATATTGACTTGCATTTTGTTCATATTTACAAAAAACATGAAGTTGCTGGTGTTTGGAGATCACACGATATTCATCACTGGACAGAGCCATAGATTATGTGATGTTTTTGTATCACTGTATATTGAATTTCAACATATTGTCGCATCCCTACTGGGAACTGTACTATGACTACAAGATGGTCACTGTAACGGGGATCTCTGTCTGAGGGAGCCCTCTCAAAGGCACAGGGGTATGTTAGATGTTGGCCACTTCCAGTCTCTATGCTATGCTAGGCTATCCACATCCTGACTCCAGCTCTGTAGTAAGGACACAGGCAAAAAGAACATTTTCCAAAATGTTGGAATATTTCTCAGTGACACCACCTGAGTGAGAGGATCAGGACTGACTAGGTCCACTCTCACTGGCTTTAAAGATTAAAGTGCTGGTGTAACAACTTTTGAATTTATCGGTGTTATTAGGAACCTGACCTCAAACAAAAGTGAGAGATCAGTCAGCTGATGGTTCTTCAGCAACCTGGAAAACTTCAGTTCATGTGCAACATTGTTAGTGTTGAAAACGTTTTATCAGGATGGATATTTGTGTGTGTGTGTGTGTGTGTGCTGAACTTGATTCACTCAGATCTATTGATGGCAGCGACTGGAGATGGAGAGCTCGACATGTTTCTCAGAAAAGGCAGGAGACAGTGAGCCATCACTCTTCTCTTCTCACCACACATTTTTCCTTCCTCCTCCTCCTCCTCCCCACCCACGTTGCTCCTCTCCTGCGCTGAAGACGTAAGTGCCTTAGACAGATGTCTGCTGCCTCTTGTCTGAAACCCTCAACGTGAGCTGCTGAGCTCGGCAAACTCTAATTAAGATCAATATTTCAATTTTTAGTAAAAGCGCACGAGATGGAGAGAAGACAGGGAGAGAAATCATCTGTCCACAGAGACTTCGAGACAAAAAAGAAGGTCAACTGTGATTCTTCATTGTGTGAGTGCGTGCGTTAAAGAGGTTTGATAAGAATTGGTTTGTGAGTGTGTGTGTGTGTGGACGTTATTTCTCAAAAGTTTCTTTCCATGAAGTTTTAGCTTCCTTTGGCAGGGTAGTTTCAGGTTATTACAACTTGTTTCTTGTTGTGTTGCTCATCCTTATTTCTTATAATAATGTAGTCCTCTTTGTGGACTGACAAACTGGCTAAATGCTAATCATTAGTGAGGGATGTTGATTGGCTGCTCATGCACAGTGACATCAACAGAGAAACAACAAATGAGCATGCATAGTTTAGCTCAGAACCTAAGATAAGATACTACTTTATGGATCCCACTCAAGGAAATTCACATGCCACAGCAGCTCAGGTGCCAGAAAATAAAGACTAATCTGCCACTAAATTAAAAAGTTAAATAATAAATTCAGTTGATTACTAAAAAGACACAGGTAAAGCACCTAAGAGCAAGCCATTAAAACCCACAAAGCAAAACCTTAAATCAAGCCACAACACTTCCTGTGTCACAGGAAACATGCAGATATTAGAAGTCATTCATGTTTCTCAGCTGTGTGCAAAAATGTCCCAATAGATTTAACCTGAAGCAGGATTCTTTGCTCCAAAGCCTTTTTCACCACTGTTTTTAATAAGCTCGTTGATCCCTTTCTCTCACAAACACAATCACAAAACTCTGGTAGAAAACACTCAACATCATTCCACTGACCCTGAAGGACGTCTGTTTCCTTGTGGGGGGAAAAGGCAGATTCTAACACTGGAAACACAGCATTGCTGTTTTCAGGCCACATAAAAGTCAAAACCTAAATCAGTCTTACTAGTATTAATGCTCATAATTAGCATTATAACTACACCCATCTGTTAGATCGGGGAAATCCCAGCACCTCAACAGAAGTGAGATGGGTGATCAGGCTTTAGATAAACCAGAGACCAGAGCAAAGTTATGAGCACCACTGTTTCTGATCCTGTCACTGCCTGCTGTTGTCACTAAGATCATTTTGAACACCGTGTTCTCAGCTCTCAGCATTTACTTTGATGAGCAGTGGCACTGTCATCACCACCAAATGAAATGGAAGTCAGAACTACACAGTTAATCCCCGTGTTGTAATAAACCTGAATTCGCGGTCCTCCTCTCAGCCCAGGTTCCGTCTTGTCTGTCATGTCCTGCTCTTGTTCTTTGAAGCCAAACACCTTTGTCTGGTGGACAAACATGTCTCCTGTACAAGCGAGGCCTCTTACATGTGGTGAAACTCCTGATTTCTAAACTAAGCCTCCCTGTTAACTCCACCGTGCACATGCATGCGTGCGTGTCACATCCCAGCACAATTAAAGCTGAATCCTCCACAGGGGCGTTAGTGACAAAACCCTCGGGGCTGCCGATAACCCTGAGCCACCTGGAGCCGCCGCTGCCCGCCTTGGCTCAATGCTCGCCGTCGATCCTCCACATTGCTGATGTCCGTTTTGCTTAAATCGGTAGAACTGCACTTGCAGCGAAGTCCCAATATGCAGAGGGACAATGAAAACCCTGACTTGAAAAAAGTACGTCCCACGCCCTCGGCCGCAGACACTCCCGTTCGCCTGACAATGAATGGACCACAGCAGAGCTTCTTAAATGTGCCATTTCAATGCAGTCTGCTTAGCTTGGCGTTTAAGGGCCAGCTCCTGCTTATTTAATAAAAAGAAACTAAAACCCCTCTCCTAATGACTTCACGCACCTAAACTTCAAAGACCTTGATATGATTTCCATCCCTTCATCTCATACTCATCCTCACCAGCAGATTTGAGGCAGAGGGGGCGCGTATTTCATGGCCAGTTCGGACGGGGCGTAAAGCTTTACAGCTGTGCACGGCTTTTCTTTTCACATCAGATAAAGTTAAAACTCACTGACACCTGTTCTTGTATCACTACTGCGGGAGCCAGTCGCTGCTGACCAGGCTCAGTGGGTCAGGTGCCCTTAAAAACCGCGTCCAGGATGGAGACGCACGCTGCGGATCTTAATTACCCGTCTTTCCGCGGAGATGAGTCGAGATACAGTATGTGGTAAATTTGAATGAAGCCCCTGTTAACCCGTGTGCAGCCACAGCGTGGCCTCCTCGCGGAAATGTGGATTGATTTTTGGCAGAATGGAGCCCGGCCTCCAATCGATTGGCGATTGATTAATTTGGTGGTTTGTGGTGTCAGAAGCCTCCTTAGACTTCCTCAGAGAAGTTGAAAAGCTTTATTAATGAAGCTAATAAGAGGAAAGTGTTTTATTAAAATGATTAGATCAATATCAACCCAAATGAGGTCATCCAATCCACGGCCATGTATGAGACGCTCACAGTATAGTTATCAGGTGTAGTTGTTCATTTCTGTTACTATTTTAAGTAATTTCATTTTTATGTTCGGCTGTGTTCACCATTGCATTTTCCTCCTGATCACTGATTGATTTCACTGTGTAGACAGTGACAACGAAGTCCTCTTCCTTGTTATGTGTCTTCATATTGATTTAATCTTCAGATCGGTGGGTTTTTTAGGGATCAAAGGCGGAAATTTGACATCTGTTAGTCGCATAGGCCAAGCAATTTTATAGTGAGATTTCATCCTGGATTTATGAATAACTCAGCAAAATGTTTGTTTGGATTTTGTTTCAAATATCAGTTTTTAAAGGTTTCATATAGCACAAAGTCCACCAGGACCTAAAATCCTCCCTTTTAAGTTCCTGTAAAAATGTAGATACCAAATGATTTAACCACTGGGGGAGTCTTTGACAGCCTCACTGCAACGTGTTCCTCTGTTCTGAGCAAACACTTTGTCTCTGAGAAACTGTCGTAGCTGCGCTGTGCAGTAGCATCTGCTCGGTCACTAGAGGGGGGATCTGCACCTGTTCTCCATGCGCGCTCCTCTGTCTTCGCCTCCACTCGGCTGTTCTCGGCCGGCCGCTACCAGGGTGTAGAGGGCGGCTGGAGGAAAATGCTAATACGCCGCTGTGATCTCCTCCCACTGGCCCGTCACACCTCTGTGTGGGAGGGTCGGGGCCACGCTGTCTTTATAAGTGCAGGTTGCCTTCCAGCGCCTCACTGACACTCCGTGTGTGCGCCGTGGAGATATTAGAAACAATCTTTAGGCGTTAGATAGGAAACAAACTGGACATTGTCATATTTTGCATAATAATACACAGTCATCACATAAGGTCAACATCGCGCCCCGGTGAGGGGGGGACAGGACCGTGGGGAGCGAACCTGTAAGTAGACGCAGCTTGAAGTAAATATTTGGACTGAACACAGCCACAGGGGACCAGACTCTCCTGTCCCTCCACCTAGGAAATAAATATTTGGACTGAACACAGCCACAGGGGACCAGACTCTCCTGTCCCTCCACGTAGGAAAAGTACCTGCACATTTAACAAATCTCAAAATCAAATGAACTTTGAACACTTTCTGCACGTGTCATTTTGTTTTGGATTCCTGGCTCTTGTCAGCACGCCTGCGCAGCGCCCTGTGACTGTAACAGAAACTTTAAATTCAGGCCCTGCTGCAGTGACTACAGCCCACTACGTGGAACTTCATGATCACGCTGTGAACAACAGGAGACGGGGAAGGATGCTTGGAACATATTTATAACACACCAAACGGAGGAGACGAAATCTTTTCCTGTTACTTGATCGAAAAGAACCAAGGACAGTAAATCACAAGAAGGCAAGTGGGCTGCAGAGGTGAAGCCAGGACAGGACAGGTTGGTGTCTCCAAATTCACCGGGCTCGAGTTTCAGCTGCCCTGGGGGCTCCTGGTATTAAAGCGTGCATTTGACCTGGGATAAGTTGTCAACAAGAGCACTGAGCGGAGGCAAACTGGCAGGTGTACAAGTTCATTTAAATGCATACGTATATTCTCACCACTATATATAGAAGTTATTTTAGGGCCGAGTAGCCTTAATACGTTTCTCCACCCACCCTCTGGCCCTGCAGCAGCCCCACGCACCGGGCGTGTGCGTGTGTCTATATATACACCATACAGGCTTGTATTCCTCTTCGCAATCTGTATCCGAGAGCAGTGCCTGCCGTCGGTTTGGCTGTGAGGGCAGGAGTCGTCGCATGGACTGACATGGCCACCGACCTCGCCATGAGCGCAGAGCTGCCCAACAGCCCGCTGGCCATCGAGTACGTCAACGACTTTGACCTGATGAAGTTTGAGGTGAAGAAGGAGCCGCCGGAGGCCGACCGCTACTGCCACCGCCTACCATCGGGCTCCCTCTCCTCCACCCCGATTAGCACACCCTGCTCCTCCGTGCCTTCCTCGCCCAGCTTCTGCGCCCCGAGCCCGGGCGCGCAGCCCAACCAGAGCCTCGTCAGCGGGGTCAGCAGCGGAGGCAGCAACAACAGTAGCGTCAACAACAATCACAGCAACGCGGGCAAACCTCAGCTGGAGGATCTGTACTGGATTCCCAGCTACCAGCACCACATCAACCCGGAGGCGCTCAACCTGACCCCAGAGGACGCGGTGGAGGCCCTCATCGGTAACGCGCACCATCATCACCACCACCATCAAACCTATGAGGGCTTCCGCGGACAGCAGTACGTCGGGGAGGACCTGTCCGCGGCCTCGGCGGCCCACCATCACCAAGCCCATCACCACCACCATCACCACCACCACGGCCACCACGTACGCCTGGAGGACCGCTTCTCGGACGAGCAGCTGGTCAGCATGACTGTGCGTGAGCTGAACCGGCAGCTGCGGGGCTTCAGCAAGGAAGAGGTGATCCGCCTGAAGCAGAAGAGGCGCACCCTGAAGAACCGGGGCTACGCGCAGTCCTGCCGCTTCAAGCGCGTCCAGCAGAGGCACATGCTGGAAACCGAGAAGTGCACCCTGCAGAACCAGGTGGAGCAGCTGAAGCAGGACGTGGCGCGCCTTGTTAAGGAGCGGGATCTTTACAAGGAGAAGTACGAGAAGCTGGCCAGCCGGACCTACAATGCCGGTGGACCCGCAAACACGAGAGATCCTTCGGCGAAACAGGCCAACACCGAGTTCTTCATGTGAGAGACTGATCATTTGTAGCATAGACTCTGAATCACACCCACACCTGAACATCCTTGTAACATTATTTTCTATTTTTCAGCATTTGTATTTTGTTTACAGTTATTCCCTCAATTGAAAAGACTATAAAACTCAACATCTTAACAAATAAGCATTAGATATGCACAAAAGTAGCCTAATCATGTGCGCATTGTGAGTCTTAAAGATGTTTTGGCTAAACTTCTGTAAACCCACTACAAGCTGCGATGTGGGCACATGGGATCAGTTAGCCTGTAGACGTTTCTCTGGTGCAGCAGAACCTGGTCAGAAGTCTTACTGAACCACCCTGACATCTCACATGACTGTCTTAATTCAGAGAAAGGGATGATTTAGTTTTAAAACTGGGAGAGTTTTTTGTTTATCAGATTGGACTGAAAAAAGCAACAAACCGGCAGACAGCTCGACAGACTGTGTGTGTGAAAGAGATGCTGTCTGTGATGCAGAGAAGAGACCTTTCATTATTGCAAGTCTATCGTTTCCCATCCCTATTTGCAACCCTGCATGCAGGACATGTATGGTAACCTCCAGTCATCTCCCACACTCCTTCCACGTGTATGGAAAGCATGGCCCACGGTTCTCTCCTCTAACGCTTCTCCTCCTCTCCCCCTTCCTCTGCCGTCAGTAAGGCCTGGGTATGCAAAACGCCACAAAAATGTTTTCCCATAATCACCCTGAGAGGTGCGAGGTCTGCGGACTAAAACACAATCTGCTACTGCAAATGAATGCGTCTGTAACTGCTATTTTCAATCAATTTTTCTATTGTTTTCAAAAGGACAAAAACGACAAGAGATTAACTGAGCCAGATTTTAGACTGTATTTATTTCCACCTGTACATAACGTGTAGAGAAAAAGTTGACTGTGCTATTTTATCTTCTCTCTTTTTAAAGAAAACTGCTTTTGTTGCTTGGATTATACGAAATGTCTTAATACAAATGTTTGTATGTTACAGCATGCAACTCGTCTGTGGTATCCTCCTCGTACTGAACATGTGTAATGTCAAAGCAAGCCTAAACTGCACTAAGATGAGATCAGACTGGACAAACCCAGGAGCTTTGATCTGGTACTCTCTACCAACCGGGGTGTAAATTGATGAGGTGAACGCCTCATTTGTTAGATGGACAAGGACTGCACTCGCTGCTAAAACTCTATGCACCAACCTGATCATTAAAGTCTGATAATTTTTACTTTAAATATTTGTAGAGAAAAATTTCTAGGGCCTACGAGTTTATTTGTCAGCCCGGTGTCTTAATGAGATCTTGTGTCTGATAGGAGGATGCTTGATTGTTTTGCCTGGTGGTAGACCTTACTGTTGTTGGAATAACCCCATGCACTATTCTGTCAACAAGAAATCCCTGGTCCGTGTGTTTTCTGCTGCCTAGATATGTATGTGCAATATTGTGCAGAAGTGTCCGATGCTCAGACCACCTGTTGGACGGCGAAAAGGTGCAGGAAGAGACACTGGAAATGTGACAGTTGTATCAAAATGTCAAAGAACAACAAAACTAGAAAATGCTAAATAAATGCGAGTTTATTCTTATCGAGTGCTGCCCAACTATGAGCCAAAAGAACACAAACTAAACGACCAAAGTTTAAACTTAATTCTCCCGACCCATACAAATTTATCTTTTCTTAAAATTTAGAAAAACAACAATTTACCGCCAGTGACTTTTTTTCAGTTTTTGAGGGTTTGGTGCAAACTTAAATTTGAGTACTTTTTCCCAAAGCAGCTACAGCCTAAACTATCCTAGTTTTATTTTTAAAGACGACTGCGATTAATAAAGGGCGATGAAAAGGAAAGCAAACTTCTGCACAGTGCTGTTAATGTATATCTGTACATATAATTTCTATATTTATTCAATGAACGTGTCCTAACGTGTCAACAAGTGAAAAACCTACAAAGTGGAACGTGGTTGAGAAACTTGTTTTCATAATGTTTAATAAAAAGTACTGTCCCAAACGTGTCAGACTGCTGCTGCCGTGATTCTTAGAGAAGTTGTTTTATTTTGAAAAAGAGAAAACAAAAAAGCTTCCTGCTTCTAAATTATTAAAGTTTGGGCTTTATGTGAGAATTCCATGAATTTAGTAGCGTTTAGTTTTCTGTTTTAGGCCGGCTGAGGTTCGTTGCAGCTCTATAAATGTGGTTTAAAAAAAGTAATTAGACATGAAATAGAAGCCTATAAAATTAGCCCTTTTTATCATCTGATTATTAATGGATAAATGATTATGTTCGTGTCTGTAAAAGAAAAATCTAAATTACGTTTGATGGAGTTACTTGAGTTTAACCTGCATCCAACAAACATGATTTACGATGCATGGAAATAATATTAAGTGTTAACATATAACAAATATGCCAAGCGAATTTTATTGATTATCAATAAACCGTATATAACGAGATTCGAGGTAGAAATCATGATGTAATTAAGATGTTGACATTATTAGTAGTATTAGCAGCACTTATGCTTAAAGGCTGAAAAACATTGCTACATTTCAATCATCATTTATCATGTAGCCTAATTAATCTATTCCCTAATTTAAATTTTATTTTCCATTTCCGAGTTTGTGTTCTCTAATATTTTTCAGAGAAGCGCTGCTCGGCTGTACTCCAGCTGTTAGCGGTCTGTGCGCCTCTGTGTACCGGGCGCTGAGTCCGATGAAGCCCGTGTCAGTGCAGGGTGTTGTGAGAGGCTGCTCTGATTTCCAGAGCCATCTCTGCAAAGCACCAGCGGAGACGGACACAGCCTGCGCCAGCTCTGGTCGCCTCTCAGCGGGCCTGCTCCGGTGATGGATGGATGAACCGGCCCGCTCTTTGCGTCCTCCTGCCACCACCGAGCAGCGAGGTAAACCAGTGCACTTCATGTTTTGAGTTTGGCCACAGGGCAACTTTGCATCATACCCTGGCTATCTACAGTGCGCGCGCACGCGCGCGCTCTAAGATACCAGAAGTGCCCTCCTCCCCTGGAAGCGGAAGCAGCGCGACGTGCTACATGTACCGCACCGCGTTGGCTACGCCGCACCGCCGCCAGGCTCGGCGGGTGGCGGCTCACTCACAGTGAATGAGAGTGTGTGTGTGTTTGAACCGAGGCCTCAGGCTGTGGAGGCCAGGACACGGTCGGAGATCTGCACAGCCGGCCCACGTTTGCATGTGTCTAAAATCAGGCTTTTAAACTTAACAATGTATTTGCCGGATTTGAGTGTCACATTTGAAGTTATGCAACAGTGTCCCGCAGTCTTTTCAGGTCTGCGTGTGTTCTAGTACTCATTACATAGTGAGGACCCAACGAGTATTTTTTTTGCTGCAGGATTTTGACCGGTCCTCACTTCATGAAACAGCTTTTTGAGGGTTAAGACTTGGTTTTAGGGTCCAGGTTAGAATTAGGCATTTAGTTCTGAGGGTTAGGGTAAGGGGCTAGGGAACGCGTTATGTCAACGAGTGTCCTCACAAAGATACGACAAATACAAGTGTGTGTGTGTGTGTGTGTAACAGGTGCATTTTATTTATTTGTTCTTTTTTTCGAAAGTCTGCTCGACATTTTCCATCTTCTTTGCACATTTCAAACATCTGTTTCATAAAAATAATTTGTAAATACACACATTAAACCTGCGTAATACTTGTATAAATCCGTTGCTGTTATTCTTAACTCTCATCTGTGCAGTTTCCACTGAGCACTTTGTTCTACCAGTATAAGATCATGTACGATCATTTTCTAGGAAACCTGCGGCGCCATTGTACAGCTTATTATTTCATACTATCATTATAGTTAAAGGTTTTTGTTCAAATAAAATCAGGAGTTATGAAATTTTGATGGGAGAAAAATTCAGCCCTCACCTCAAATTTAAATTTTCTCCTAATGCCCCCCCCCCTTCCCCGTTTAGCCTCCCCATCACTCTCCTCCTCAGCCTGTTTTTGCTGACTCAGAGGAAAGGCTGAGCAGTGTGACAGCCCTCACCTCACTGACAGTCGGCGCGTGTGTGCACGCTTATAACACACACAGATTGTGGTGGTGTGCTGTGGAAGGAAGGAGCAGGCTCTCTGTGTGGGTGAGACAGAGATAGAGATCACCATGACTGTGCTGTGGGTTTCTCTCTCCATAAATCAGACCAGAGTCCGTCTGAGCCGCATCTGAGGAACAACACAAGAGAAGCAGGGAGGAGGATGGAGAGAGAGGTGCGGCGTGTCTCTGGCGTCTGGAGCTGCTGGTTCTGCTGAGATTCAACAGAGTCAGCGTCTCTTCGGCTCAGCTTACCTACAGTACACACACACACACACACACACACACACACTTACTCACATCATAAACAGAGTCCAGACAAACACTGTGGAGGCTGTGTGCAGCTGATAGATTCCCATCCCTTGAATAAGACTGATAACAAGCTCAGCCTCCACCTCCTTCAGCTGTTGTTGTTGTCAAGGTGCATTACAAAAGTGAGCAACTTCCCCAGGAATCTCAAAAGTATCGGCTTTGCAACAGGGGAATATGCATCTCTAAAATACAGTGTCACCTGAGCCACGTCAGGCTTTGCTTGTTAACCTTATGACCCATTCTCATAGGGGGGCCCTTTGTTAAAATATACTTGATGTATGTTACTTTAGTTCCTAAATGAAGTTATGCTTAGTCAAGTCACTGACACACAGAAACCTGGTCATAGACCTCTAGAACCTCTAGGTTTTTTTGAGTCACTAACCTACTGTATATGCACAGTTGTCTACTGTTTCCAGGAAATAACAGTGCTTTTCCTTTTCCTGAGAAAATCAAGTAATGCTACCTGTAGTAGTTTTAGTGTTGATCAGTGTTACAGCCTGGTGGCACATTTCTATCCTAAAGCTGCCGCCGTGGCCTTGCTAAGCTGAGCTAAGATAGTAGCAAAACCATGGTTTTTGGCTGTCAGTGAATGTGGAGACCAGGGGAGGACTGATGCCACTGCTTTCCATGTCAGCCTGTAAAGACACTGTATGCGCTGCACAGTGAAACGTGAGCTGTTACGTGGCCGGTGTGCAGAGTCGGTATGTTGCAGTTCTGTAAATTTTGCATTTCTGCTGGATGTAAATCTGTCATGGTTGCAACCTGTGTTTCTCAGCCTTTATCACAACACATTTCTCATTCAAAATTTAAATAATCAGAGTTGTACTCACCTGTTAAGTGGCAGGAAGTGAAAGAGAGCAATGCTTTTATTTTGAAGAACTGTATTAATGGTATCCTCCCTGGTCCATTCAAGCCTTTTTATGTATCACTGCCGTGCATGGCTCCATACAGTAGCGGTGTTGTCGTGCTCCAGTTAGAGCTGCTCCCCAGGGACGTGCTCAGCTTTAAAAGTTGTCACCCTGTGCAAAATGTAATCGACAGTTTTGATAAATCACCTGCGTGCTGTTAATGCTCACAGGGTATTAATAAATATTACTCCGGATCTGGTGATTGAGTTAGCCAGGGCCCCCCACGGGGGGAGGGGGGGCATCGCACCGTCCACGGATCCCCAGCCTGACGTGCCCAGGAAAGCAATTTGGCAGCAGTGGTGCTGTGCTGCTGCTGCGACCCCTGTGTGTGTGTGTGTGTGTGTGTGTACCCTGCCTCCACCAGCCCCACTCTGCCACACACACACACACGCACCCAGTCATGCCGCATGCTGAGTAGACAAATTCAAACATGCTATCACAGGAAAAAATATGCCCAAACAGCAAATCTAACCTTGTCCCACGCTTTGAATCTACACTAATAAACAAACCTAACTGGCAAACAAACAAACAAATGAGACCAGTGGGATGATGTGAGGATCTCTAAGCAGGGAGTTGGAGGGGTGGTGTGTGAATCACAGGAACAGGCTACATTTTACCTGAGAGTGGAAACGAAGCCTTTAAAATGAGCCATGTGGGGAAATTACCTAAGGATCCTCTCTGTTTAATAGTAATCTGCAGTGACACAAATCATCACACATGGCTCATATTTTTATACTGACTGTGCTACAAGTTGTTTTATACTTTTTACACCTTGTGTTTAAGCTCAGTCACAGTTTCAGCTCATTTGTTCTCAGGAATTCACTTAAGGACTTCATGTTATTACTTCCTGTTGACAGTGGTTCCACTTGTATCCTTTGGTCTGATGTTATGAAAAGCTTGTATCAGGTACTGATGATGTGACTGTCGGAGGCGTGTGTGTGTGTGTGTGTGTGTGTGATTCAGCATTTCTGTCTGAATCAACGAGTCATTTCTTTCTCAAACTTCATTCATTTTTCTTGTATGACAGGTCACACAGGCCTTTTTGTTTTCATAATAGTAGCTGGTTTGTGGCTGTGGTTTGTGGGAAGAGCGATCTCTCTCTCACACACGCGTATACACATACACACACACAGTTGTGAGGGTGCACATATGTGGTTGCCCAGATGAGCCTGTGTAGCGATGCAGTGGGGAAGACTGTCTTCAGTGGCAGCGGAGGGTCAATCAGTGGCAGCGGGGGGGCAATCGACAATCAATTATTCCCCTCAGCCTGGCCTGTAGCCACACCACAGACTCACTTCCCACAGCAAACACACACCCATGCACACACTTGCCGTCTCACACACGAACAGTTCTTTGGTTCATAAAAACCCCACAAACCAGCTTTTTTTTTTTTTTTATATATTAAAAAAATGCAACATCGTGTGCTTTAAACTGAAGCTAAATTATTTCAGTTAATTGACTCATTTACCAGTAAAAACCATCCTGGTTGTATCGACACAGTTCTCCCTCAGACAAAACATTTGTTTTTGTAAAACAAATATGTTGATGTTGCGCAGTCACTGCACAGACAGTTGGACTGAATCAAAGTGACTGAGTTTACACTACCTCTCTGGACATGCACACACTGGTTGCATAGTTGATTTGCAATATACACATGGAAACAACTGAACAATAAGAGCAATCAAACCTGATAAGACAAAAGACTAGACAGTGTCACAAACTGGAAGTGCACACCTGTCC